ATCTGGAATCTCACTAACGATTGGAGTTCGGAATCGAAGTCCCACCAGCAGAGACTGGAATTCAGTGCCGGGAATCCGAAATCCATGACGTGGAATCTGAGTCCGAGACAATCTTGGATTCCCTTACATTTAAGTGGAGTACGCGCATCATGACAAGAGAAATATTTTTGGGCACTTCAATTGCTGGCTTCAATTTCCCCTTGAAAACTACCGTTCTCTCCTGGCCAAAGAGTATTTGTTTTTCTTACTTCCACCCTCTTTCTCTAACTCCATCAAGAGGTCAGTTTTCGATTCCACGCTACTTGTCGCAATGTTGATTGTGTGTGTTCACCGTAAATAATCTAATAAACGCCTGCGGGGTGTTTATTTTATTTTGAGCGTTAAAGAGGGGGAGAAAATCTCAACATCAGTGTCAGAATCCTCGCTTACGATCATTTTTGTCCTCTTTAGTCTTTCCTTACTTTGACCATGAGTCAATTTAATAAAACTTTACCAAGCGTAATTTACAAGTGTAGCCATTGTTTTAGAGTCTGAAAACAATAGCTACACTTGTAAATTACACCTGTAAAAGTTTTATTAAATTGACCCATAACATTGAACAAGATACATTGTGCTAACCCTTATTAATTAGCTAGAAATTGAGTAAATTAAATGATTTTGCGCTTTTTGGCAATTCCTAGTATTTTGGAGTATTTTAGAGGGGAGAGGCGGGGGGGGGGCGTCTGTGTGACAAAGGGCGTTTACTAGAGAGGGGCGTCTAATACAAACTTAACTTTGAGGAGGGGCGTTTATTAAATAAGAGGCTTTCGAATGGGAAGGTAAAGCAGATTTCGCGCCCAAATTTCCTTTACTTTCCCACTGGAACGTTTGCCACGCAAGCTAGCAGGTAACCTGGAAAGTAGTGGTGTTATCAAAGGAAACTCACAAGTATTTCCATTTTGCAGCGATAAGTGAATGTAGAACGCTAAACCACTGAAACAACAAAACTGTCTGACAACCATTAAAACTCAAAACATGCCATCTCGGGTAACCGAGCTAGTTATGTGTATGAGTTGAAGCCTGTGGAAACATCAATAGAGGCCAAAACATTTGTTGCATGGTCAATAAATAAATGACAACAACTTTGTGCAGCAAAATTAGACAAAATTGTTAATTGTGGAAGCAGTTTTGTATTTTCAAAGGACCCTGAAAAGGGAAAGCCGTGCCTTCCGAAGTATTGGTAACAACAATTATTATATCCTTGACAGTAAAATCAGCCTTGCTTCTTTTTCTCGATATTTTAATTTATAGCTGATTAGATCGTTTATATATTAGGATCCAGAACTGCTATTTTGTAACCTGGGTCCTTGCAACCGAAATAGAATTTAAGCTAGATTTTTTAAAAAAAGTGGAAGAAACTTATGCTCGTAATGACGAACATTTATGCCGAAAATTACGCTGGCACAGTCTGTCAAAGCCTACCCTCTAGAAACACTAGCTGTTAAATAAAGGTAAGACGAATGTACCGTAATATGTTTATTGAATTATACAACAGAATAAATGACTCGTAGTTAGGGCCAAAGTTATCACAAACTTTCAGAAAAAAACTAGAAACCAGAAAATAGAAATCAGAAAACTGATGATAAAAACAACCTCCGAAAATAATTCCCGGCTATGAAACACCAATCCTACTCAAATAAAAAAAGACGAGTAAATGTAAAACATTGAACATATTGAACTCATTAAAGCTGGTAACTCAACAGGGAATTTGACTTCAGCATAAGAATAAAGACCGTTCTAGGCAGTAACTTTGAACAATCTGCCACTAGAAATAAAACTCAGTACAACTAGGTCAATAGTAAAATCGTAAAAACTATACATTAAATTGCCAATAAACACGTCTTAAGTGCCCTATCACATATGGTATAACAATGGATATATAGATCGATTGACTACTGATTCCTGATGTTTTAGAAACAATGTACGCGAATAATCCTTGGCTATGAAAATGCCATCCTACGCAGAGACGAGTAAATGCAAAACTACAACATAATAAACTGATTAAACGTAGTAACTAAACAGGGAATATGACTCCAGTATAAGAATGGAAACCTTACTAGACAATAACTTTCAACAATCTGCCAATAGGAAAAAACCTGCAACTATGTAAATAATAAAAGCGTAAAAAACTATATTAAATAGGTCATTTCCGAGTTCCCCCGGCCTCTGTCTCAAAACGAGGGTAGGTGCTCAGCCTTTAAAGTGGAAATCATTTTTCATTCTCATGCAAATAAAACCCATTTTCACAAGAAAGGTTGTGCACCTAGCCTCATTTTAAAACTGTGGGTTTTTGGAACTCGGAAGTGGCCTACTGCCAATAGAGACGCGTCTCAAGCGCCTTTGTAACATATGGTATAACATTATGGAAGTAAAAATTGACTACTCAATTGATTCCTGATGTTTCTCAGGTGACTATTAAACAAGTTACAAGTGCACATGCACAAGCTTTGCGCACGACAGACTAGTCGTCGTAAAATAAGCTACGAAAACCACACGCACTAATCATTTGACTACGAAAAGATTTAACTTGTTATTATTGTTCCCAGTTAACTTGTATTACCTAAACAAATCGACACTTAACTAAAGTTTTTTTGTTATGTTATAGAGAGCTTTAGATTTGGGGAAGAGGATGGCTACGACAACGACATTTCAATTTAAGTTTTCGCGCCTATTCTCTAAAAATAGCCACCCCGGAAAGCTTCATTGTACTTTTTTCACCACAAAGGTTAGAAAGCTTATTTCCGTTGAGGGAGGTGAAGCCCTCTCCTGATCGCTATTAATCATAAATGGTCGGCATTCTCGCTAACACTCGTAGTAGAATGGCGAAGGCATTCACATTGTCCCGTCGAAATGACGTCGGTTCGCGCGCGCACTAGTTAGCATTGGGAAAATCTCGTCCTCGTCTTAGAATCTAAAGCTTTCTGATGGTAAAAACCAGAAACGCGAATAATCCTCGGCTATAAAATAACCATCCTAAGCATATCAAACAGACGAGTAAATGTAAAACTTCAACATTACAGCTATGTAAACATAAATAAAACCGTAAAAAATATAACTGCCAATAGACACGTCTCAAGTGCCTCTGTCACATATGGTATAATAATGGAAATACAAATTGACTACTGATTCCTAGTGTTCCTCAGGGCACTACGAAACAAGTTGCAAGTGCGCATGCACACGCTGTGCACGCGACTGACTAGTCGTTAAATAAGCTACGAAAAGGGCATTAAACTTTGGACTACGAAAAGATTAAAACTTGTTATTATTGTCCCCAATTAGCTTGTATTAGGTAAACAAATCAACTCTAAATTAAATTTCGTATGTTACGTTATTTAATAAAAGCATCATTGTGTCTTCCTCAATAAGAGTTCCTATCGTTGAGAGAAACGTTCCACCTCGTAATTGTGACACAAAGAAACTGAGTTCAACTTCAAATAGATGGAAACTGCTTCGCCGCCTTCGTCTTCATAATTTTGATGCAGCAGCTATACAACACAGACAGCAAATAGCAACGTTAGAAAGCTAACAGAAGTACAGAATACAGTCAACTTCCTCTAAGACCAACACTTTTGGGACCGAAACTAAGTGTCTGTCTTAGAGAGGTGTTTGTCTTATAAAGAGTCGACTGTATTGATATAACACCAATTAGTAATATCCAACTAGTGGTCTATTATCAGTGCTGCGTTCTGATTGGTTGAGCTGCTACTAGGCTATATGTTATAGCCCACTAGTAGCGAAAAGTGCCGGCTTTGAAAACCAAAACAATGGCGGCTGAATCGTGTTTTGCTAGCTAAAGTTGTTTTATCCCGATATTTTTGACCAACTAGTTGGATTTTACAAAAACAATTATTCCTCGAGCCCGAATGGCCTCTGAGTCAACAGCCCATTCGGCCTTTGGCTTCATGGGCTATTGACTCAGAGCCCATTCGGGCTCGAGGAGACCACCCGTCAAAAATGCCTAACTGATTTTTGCCCCAGGACACTATACCTGGGACCTCTCCTAAGCAACCAGCCAATCTTAGTATTTTGGGTGGTCGCTCAAGGTGGGTTCTACTGTACTGTTATAATAGACTGAACGAACCCGACGAAATAATCTCCTAGCCTAGAGAACTACCAAAGTCAGACTCCTTTGTAAAAAGTTTGAACCCAGCGGTCATTTCATAGAGGGCCGAACATTTAACCTTTGAGGTGGGGGGTAGGGGTGGGGTATGGATGATTTGATTTGGGTAAGAATTTCCCTTTACCAAACCTCCGGTGATATAATTTTTTTTCTCGACACACAACTTTGTAAGAGTCTTCCCAGCATTATACACCATGAAAGATTTTTTTTTAAGTACACAAATTTATTTCCCAAGGTATTTCCTTGCAAGATTTTATTTGATTTGATTTTGCTTTTTTTCTCTCGAAATCACCTATACCCCCCCCTCAAATGTCAAATGGTCGGCCGCTAAGTAGGTCGAGTATGATCATCTGGGTAACGTAGTCGTTAATTAATAGGACTGTTGTTGTTGTACAGTCACTGAAGTTTCGACATTCTGTGTGGTAGTCATCTTCAAAGTCAATGTGAGTTGCATTATGTCAGTTGATAATATAAAACTCTGGTTATTGACCTGATTGGTCAATTAAGTAAGTAATTCACGATTTTATTGGTCGTCTGTCAGTTAAGCCGTGATGATATTGGCTATGAAGACTCGAAATGCCATTAGTGCGATTCGATTCTTCTATTGTCACTGTGTAACAGTCGTTTATTGTTAGCTAAACTGTCGGCTGTCCACCTATTCTCTCGTGGTTAGTTTTGTCAGTGTCTGTCTGTGAGGCGTTTGCATTCCTTAAATTGTTGTGAACTTGACCCGTGATTGGTAGATTGATGTTAAGTGTCACCACCTGAGTTTATTATCCTATAAAATTAAATGGCAGTAACATGATCGAAGGTTTAAGCACACCCAGAAATACCTTGCTTTTTATTTGATGCCTTTAAACTCGAGCGTCACGTCCTCACCAATGAGAACAAAAGGCGCCCAGTGCTTCACTGCACTAAAGCGGTCAGATTCTCTCATGGATTTCATGGCTTTATTCAGAGCCTCACTTGCACTTCTTCCATTGACTAGTTGTTGGTAGAAAAGTTTCATGAACTCCATCGTAGCCTCGTCTTCAATCGCCCACAGGGACACCAGAACAGAACGAGCACCGGCACCCAAAAATGCCCGTGCGATGCCGACCACACCCTCAGCATTGACTTCCCCCCAGGCACTATGACAACAACTAAGTACAACAAGTCTTGCCCTAATCTGCGCCTTTAAAACATCATTCATAGTTAAGAGATAGTCCTCCTTGTCTGGAATTGGGGGTGAACGTGTTGTGTTTGGGGCTAAGGCAATTTCTCCCGTTTCCATTTTACCGTGAGCAGCTATATGCACCAAACCAACCGAGGAGATACGTGTTAAAACTTTATCTTTCGTTGCTAGCTTTCCAACAAGAGGTTCAGTTTGAAGTATTTCCCCAATCATCTGCACTTCCTTTTCGGCCCACTCTAACTGCTCTAGCGTCCTTCCTTCATAAACTACCTCCTGTACCCACGGATCGCCGACGAGAAGAGCACCAGTCTTGCTGTGCCAATGTGCTGGACAATTTTGGATTAATCGCTGACTAGAAAGTGAGGGAAGCAGACGAATTCTAAACGTTTCGCAGAGGTACTTTGATTTTAAGTCCATGAAAGCAGCATAAGGCGCCAAACACAGAGGTCCTTGTGGAACAATCACAACTTCATCGCCATGGAGTAAGTCTCTTATAGGGTCTATAACAACATTATAAAATGTTTGTAATGACTTTGTCTCAAAACATGAGGAAACAGACCTTGGCTTACTGGGGGATCTTTGTTCTGATAACTTTTTATCGCTTGGGTTTCTTAATGAGCGATCTTCACAGTTAACATCATCTGTCACACCTATTTCTTCATGTGTAGTCTTCAATAGAGACTCAAAATAGATGGTAACAGGGATATCGATCTGGCTTCTTCTAGTTTTGATTTCTTTTCCTTTCTCGTTCACCCAGAGAACTATTTCTCTCTCGGTCATACCTATGAAAACTGTATTTGGTGGTAAGTAACTAGAAAAGTCACTTGATCCTGCAGAAAGTGATCTTATTTCTGGGCGTAGCCCTTTAAGGCCATACTTGAACTCCAGGAGATCATTTAAAGCCTCTGCACGTCCTCGATCAGCAGTTAAAAGTGCCCCGATGACCTTACCATCCGTAAGCTGCAGCTCCCATAACCTCGAATTAATATCATTATACGTATTCCCAAGGCTAATTTTCAATTCGTCATTAGATATGAGATTTTCCCTGATGTCGTCAAAGGCTCTAACACCGTTCTTATAATGCTGGAAGGCTTTCCCGAAATCTCCAAGACTGTGATAGGCTTTACCAAGATTACAGTACGCTCTTCCTTTTCCTGCCCTGTCCCCCACTTGTTTTGAAATCTTGAGGTGTCGTTCATGGTACTCTATGGCTTTCTGAACATCTCCAAGACTGTAATAGGCGTTGCCAAGACTTCCGTACACTCCTCCTTCTCCTGCCCTGTCTCCCACTCCTTTCGAAATTTTGAGGTGTCGTTCATGGTACTTTTTAGCTTTCTGCAAGTCTCCAAGACTGTTAAAGGAGTTGCCAAGATTACCGTACGCTCTTCCCTCTCCTGTCCTGTCTCCCACTTGTTTCGAAATTTTGAGTGCTCGTTCATGGTACTCTGTAGCTTTCTGGAAATCTCCAAGACTGTGATAGGCGTTGCCAAAATTACCATACGCTCTTCCTTCTCCTGCCCTGTCTCCCACTTGTTTCGAAATGTTGAGGTGTCGTTCATGGTACCCTATGGCTTTCTGGAAATCTCCAAGACTGTGACAGGTATTGCCAAGATTACCGTACGCTCTTCCTTCTCCTGCCCTGTCTCCTATTTCTTTCGAAATTTTGAGTACTCGTTCATGGTACTCTATAGCTTTCTGAAAATCTCCAAGACTGTCATAGGCGTTGCCAAGATTACCGTACGCTCTTCCTTCTCCTGCCCTGTCGCCCACGTCTTTCAAAATTTTAAGTGCTCGTTCATGGTACTTTATAGCTTTCTGAAAATCTCCAAGACTGTAATAGACGTTGCCAAGATTACCGTACGCTCTTCCTTTTTCTGCCCTGTCTCCTGTTTCCCCGCATATTTTGAGGTGTCGTTCGTGGTACTCTATGGCTTTCTGTAATTCTCCAAGACTGTGATAGGCGTTGCCAAGATTACCGTACGCTCTTCCTTCTCCTGCCCTGTCTCCCATTTCTTTCGAAATTTTGAGGTGTCTTTCATGGTACTCTATAGCTTTCTGGAAATCTCCAAGACTGTAGTAGGCATTGCCAAGATTACCGTACGCTTTTCTTTCTCCTGCCCTGTATCCCAGTTCTTTCGACATTTTGAGGTCTCGATTGTGGTTTTCTATAGCTTTCTCGAAATCTCCAAGACCGTGGTAAGCGTTTGCCCTGCCTCCTTCTTCTCTGGCAATTTTGCGGTACATTTCAAGGTAGTTTACGACGTTCTTGAAATCTTTAATGTTTTCATAGGAGCCTGCCACTTCCTGTCTTTTCTCCGCCATTTTAACGATAATGTGCAGAAATGATAGTTGGGTCAGGTTTAAAAAATTGTTTTATTTCTCGGTCACTTTTTTTGCTAGCTTGAATATTTCAGCTCTCCCTGAAAAAAAGTATTTAATATTTTGTGGTTTCATTTCATGGTTTATGCCAGTTTTTGCAGAAAGGTATAGTAACGTATGATGAAGTGAAATAAAATATAAATCGAGAATATCTAAATCTTATATTAGAGTGATTTTACTTAAGCCGTACGCCGGTGAAACAGATAATAACTGCCTGTGCAAAATAGCTACAAGTAAACAAAAGAAGACAATCATATGGAATTAGTGCATAATAGCGCTTAGTATTCTACTACCTATTTCGAGGCATAGGCTAAAATCTAGACTGGACCCTGGACTCTGGACTCTGGACTCTGTGTGCAGAATTATGCAGATCAAGGAGAGTGTTATCGGCCGAAGTGGATAACATTCTGCGAGATCTGTACAATTCTTTGCATCCTATGAAAGCCTAATTCAATAATTGTTTTATTTTCATTCAAATTTTTTTTAAGCTCTGAGCGCAGTTACCTCCTCGTAGACTTTCAAACCCCTGGCCTTTTTGATTTTCCAGTTGTAGTGACACCTCAGGTAAGCCCTGAGTTGCAGGTCGATTACCCTGCGATTACCGCAGCCCGTAATTCGTTTGTGCTATTATATATTACGTCAAAAGTAGTCGAAAATATGTACTAAGGTCCTGTCCACACGTATCCGTATTCGTTTGAAAACGCAACCTTTTCTCTCCGTATTCAAAAAAATTCGCGTCCACTCGTAGCGTTTTCGCATCGCTTTCGCCCTTCCATACGTATACGATGAATCGATTTGAAAACGATAACTTACCCGACTGCGCCGTATGTGTTCACTATTAGCTGCTATTATGAGCCCGCAAAGTAATAAATTGGCCGGCCACTTGAATTTCTTTCGTGTGGGTCTGTATTGTTGTGACGTTTTTCAAAGTCGCAGAAACAGATTAAAATGTCAATGAATATCAGGGCAAAAACAAAGTCAAACTGAAGGGAGATCCAACCTTCTGCCTCTTGACACCGGTAACGAAAGTAACCTGACAATCGTTCTGCCGCCTCCTGGAATAATCAGCTTGAAGAATTAACAAAGCTAAATTTGCTTGAAAACAAGCAATTGTGTTAGAAATAAGCCCGCCAAGTATATAAGACAAGAAACGGGGAAGCGCCAGTCCGCTATCTTGAATAAGTTTCTAATATTGCGCGGAGTGGATTGGAACTGATAGTCTGTCCTCAGCGTTTTCGAAAAGTTCCGTTTTCGTCTGTACACACATACACGCGAAAACAGCGTTTTTAAAAAGTTCCACTCTGGAGAGCGTTTCAAAAAGTTCCGTTTTCATTGATCGTTTTCACGAGATACGTGTGGACGGAAGCCGTACCCGTAAAGAAAAAGTTGCGTTTTCAAATGAAAACGGATACGTGTGGACAGGGCCTAAGTCTACTTGTTATTATGCTAAGTCTACTTATTACTACCTAGGGCGGTACTCATAAGAATTCTTGTTAGAGGTGTGCCACCCGGTTCTCTAATCCTGACCCTATTTCACACCAAAAATGCCATTTTTCACACCCGTTTCCAGACCTGGGGCCCGTTTCTCGAAACGCCCAAGACAAATTCTAAAACTGCAAAAACCTGTTGAATAATAGCACAGTTCCTGGCGCACAAACCAGTCAATTTTGCTTCGTTAGCTGATAGTTTCATTGTATCATTTTCAAAATTATTGAAACTTTGATCTCGAATGAAAACGCAGCAAACATAAACAGCTTTTCGAAAAAAAAGGTTTCTTAAAATCCATTTCGAATTTGCATATTCTCTTTCTTTCTTAATCATTTGGAACTGAAAAGATAATTACGTTCATACGCTCCCGTAGTTCCCTCAAAAACCATACCTGATTCCAGACCAAAGTGGGCAAAATGTATACTCGTTTTCAGACCAAAACGGCGCAAAAACCCTACCCTTTGGATATCTATATAGTTTATATAAGGAAGTACCTCCCCGCGACAATTTCACACAAGTAGTTAATATGAATAGTCTAACTTGCGCATGAAAAATAAACGTATGAGGCTAAACCGCAAAAATTTGGTTCCATGAACCGTGTGCGATCGAGAACGATTGCTAAAAAAGTCCTGCCGTCTGAGCAATAGTGGCGTTTGTAGTCCGCCAACGCATACTACACGAGTTTTAGAGTAAATACAGTTAATTTTAATTTGCTACTACATGTTATACCTACCTTATTTGAACGATGATCTTGATACATGCAATTCGCAACAATTTCCCGAATGATTAGCTTGATTTCACACGACGATAAGGTCTACAAGGAAACCACATTTAAGACAAGTTTTACACGTCGTTTTTCCTTCAAAAAATAAACTGGACGTCCACAAAACTAACCTTAAAAAGCTTCGACAATCATCCACTTTGCAAAAGAGAAAGATGAACTAGCTTGCGTGGTAAGCGATAGGGTTTTTTTCCCTTCTTTTGTTTTACAACTTTGATCAAATTACGTCAGCAAAAAGTGACCCGAGTCTTTTCCAAAGCAGTCATCTGGAAAAATTAACAACCCATAGGGGAAATTAAACTATGAGTGTCACATTAAGGACCCCAAAACACAATAATTATATACTAGTAATAGCTGACTCTACAGCTGCCCCCACTCTGTATATTGTCGGTCAATAGTACTCTTGCTCGTTGATTAGCTCTTTAAAATATACCCGTCCAATTCATGATGAAGATTTTCACACATATTCCATACAAAAGGTGAGATAAAACTGAACAGGAAACGCAAGGTTCCATGCACGGTTTCTGTTCTGATCTACACAGCTTTGATCAAAACATTCTCAGTTTCGAGAATAGTTTATTCTAAACCATAAGAAAATATTTAATTAGAAGTTGAATTTTTCGCTATTTCTCTTTCACTTTTTACATTCAGTTCATTTTATTTGCCAGAAAGTAAGCCTTCGAAATGAAAAGGACGTTCGATCAATTCACGCTTGCGCATTCTAGTCTCATTTTAAACTTTATAGCGGAAGGCCACCTGTGAGCAGGGAATAATTAAGTCAGCACAGAATTTGATTGTCGGCGAATTTTAAGCGTCCATCGTTCTGCTAGTGATAAGCTAGCCGTTGTTCACTCGTCTTGCTTGTTTGGGGCTGAGTCTTATTTCGGTCAAAGAGAGAGAAAGAGTGCCTGGCAAGGTTTCCAATACGTTCCAATCAAAGATTTGTGAACTCGTGTCTGGCAAACTCTCCAAGTGTTTATATTTATATACATAGTTATACGCACCCAAGGGTGGCGTAGTGGTGAGAGCGCTCGCCTCCCACCAATGTGGCCCAGGTTTTCAACTCCCGGCGTTGACGCCATATGTGGGTTGAGTTTGTTGTTGGTTCTCTCCCTTGCTCCGAGAAGTTTTTCTCCGGATACTCCGGTTTTCCCCTCCCCTCAAAAACTAACACTTCCAAATTCCAATTCGATCTGGAACGCACGGACATGTTTAAACGAGTTCATATGAACTTCTAATAGACTACGAGTAGTCCCCCATTTTTCCTCAGGGATAGTAGAGCGAGCGAAACGCGAGCGCGCGTGAAAATCACCCCACGCAAGAAAAGGCGACACGCGGCAGGGACAGAGGATATTACACGGTGGCACGAAGATATGAATTTTATTTTCGAGTGGCAAAAGAATATTTTACCAACGAGCGCAGCGAGTGAGTAAAATATTGTTTTTGCCACGAGAAAATGAAATTCATGTCTTCAAGCCGCCGTGTAATGTTCTTTTTATTATGTAGATAGACAAAAAGACATCGATAAAATAATAGAGGGAAACAGGAGCTCATCAAATTCCATTTGATGGGCTCCTGAGGGAAATTACCGAAATTACGTTATCGATTATCGGTTATCAATAAACTCACGTGTGAGATTATGGAAAATAAACCACTCGGGTCCCGGATGTAGTTTTTATGAAAATACGAGTGGTATATTTTCCAGTAAAACACTCGTGTCTGTATAATAAAAGTTTTCATTATATAGACTCGAGTGTTTTACTGGAAAATATACCACTCGTAAAATTCATAAAAACTTCATCCGGGACCCGAGTGGTTTATTTTCCATAATCTCACACGTGAGTTTATCAATGACGTAATTTCGGTAATTTCCCTTCGAAACGTCTTGCGTCTTTTAAGTTAATTTACTTACATATTTTTCAAAGCTTTTCTTTTATTTTGTCATTGTAGAGCCCTATTCAGCTCAGTGTTGTTTCTCAAGATTATTGTAACCAATGTCCCATCTTGCTGTACTGTAAATTTGAGCCGTCGCATTTACCTTTTGGTGAATAAAAATCTATTATCTTATCGATGTCGTTTTGTCTATATAATAAAAAGAACATTACACGGCGGCTTGAAGATATGAATTTTATTTTCTCGTGGCAAAAACAATATTTTACTCACTCGCTGCGCTCGTTCGTAAAATATTGTTTTGCCACTCGAAAATAAAATTCATATCTTCGCGCCACCGTGTAATATCCTCTATATATTCCCGACTGTAAAATCAGCCTTACTTCTTTTGTTTTATATACCGTAAATGATCCAATGGACGCCCGCAATGCGTTTATTTAATTTTGAGGGTTCAAGAAAGCGGGGAGCTCATAGATGGGAAGCAGTTAAAAGAGAAGGGCGTCTATTCTTACAAGTGTAACCAGCTCAGCAAAACTAATATACTTTTGTCGAAAATATCAAGAGCGTTTAAAAATAACGGAGTATCCAGTCCATATCTTTGATACCTCTAGGGCAACTGTTTCAAGTCTCAACATCTGTGTCAGAATCCTCGCCCAAGATCAAATTAGTCTAACCCATATTACTTAGCAAGAAATTGAGTAATTTTTAATGATTTTGGGCCTTTTTACCAATCCTAGTCATGATTTTGGAGTAGTTCTCAGGAAGGGGGTGTCGAGAGGGAAGGTGAAGGAGATTTCGCGCCCAAATTTCCTTCTCCTTACCTTTGGAAAGTTTGCCATGCAGGCTAGCAGGTAACTGGGAAAATAGTGGTGTGATTATGAAGGAAACTCCCAACTATTTGCAGCGATAAATGAAATGTAGAAAGCTAAACCACTGAAACAACAAATTTATGCTGGCAGTTTTGTATTTTCAAAAGAGCCTGGCCTTCCGAAGTATTATTGGTAACAAAAATATATTTCCCCGACTGTAAAATCATGCCTCTTTTGCTCGATATTTTAATTTATAGCTTATTAGATCCTTTATATATTAGGATCCGATCCTCCTCCTTGCTTCCACAGGCAGGGGGTGGTGGAGCGGCGTTCTATGCCTCGGCCTCAAAGCGAGGCGGAATTTTTTGAGCAGGCGCTCTAGAACCTTAGTTGCTTCCTTGCTCGGTTGATCCCTTTAGGAGAAGGAGTTTAAACATCCCGGCTTCGGTTTTCTTCTGTCAAAGGCTTTGATAATGGATGAGGAATATGACTGTATCGTTCTGGGAACAGGTCTAAAGGTTAGCTTCTTTATTGAAGTCTAAAAAAATCCCGGTTATTTGTGGTGTGGTTCTATCACTATGAGTTAGATCGAGTAGTAATTCACACACCCTTTCATTTAAACGACATTTACATGGGCATGACCCTCGTGATTTTTGAATTCAAAATTAAACTTTATTAACTTAACAGTAATCTATGCTGAAACGAGTACGTGTAGAGTTTACACCCGAGTCAATTTATTAGATTTCCCCAGGTTTTAAGAGCAAAATTTTAGTGTGCTTACAAATGATCATAATATGGGGCCTGTGTCGTTTAAAATAAGCCAGACATCCCATGTTTCTTTGGCTTAATACTTTGCCTACATTCATGCAACTTTCGAATCGAAAGCGAGTTGTACCTAAGCGATACACTTTCAGTATTTCGAAACTGTTATTAAAGCTCAATTTCCGTGCAATGTTCAATATTAAACGCAAAGATTTGTGGTCGATTGGACAGTAAAATGCAATTTTCGTACTTTCCATTTCCATTCAAATGGATAAACCGAAACCTAAAATGCTCAGTACTGTACACATGTGGGCCTGTGTAAAGTTCCTTCTATATTTAAAGGTTTTTTTTTTCATTCTGATTCAAATACTTTGTTAGTAGAGCAATATGTTGATTGTGATTCTAGTAATATAATACTCTATATGAAAGTACATGCACTGACTGTTGTTTCACAACGCTTCAAAACCATTTTATATTATATACCTCTTAGTAGACGAGTTTAAGGTCCGTACTGTAAATTACGAAACACACTTTTTATGTGGGTCATAAATCAATGGGAAAAGCAGGATCCGTGGTTTACAGCATGGACCGTGAAAGCAAGGCTAGTAAGATGTTTATTATATCGCTTTCTGTTTTGGGGAACCAAAAACAAGTGCAGGACAAGTCAATTAATGGTCATTTGACAGGCGTCACACAAAAAAAAGATTTTATTGGCTCACAAAGACAATAGCACTTTACAAAAGCTCTCTATTGAAAGTGAAATCATTATGCAAATGCGCCAAGTCGAAAGTTTGTTTGGCAGTCAAAGCTAAGACCACTGTAAAGTTTTAGCTTGCTGGATTCTTTTGAAAAGTGGATAATGTGTCTGACTCGAAATGTCTTCCATCTTTCTTTTGTTGGTACTTGAAAAAACTCTGCATGTCACAGAAGCCTGTCAAGATGATCAGGTGCAAGTACGTTTGTTAATTTCATTATCAAAGGAATTGCTTGTGTTTCTTTCGCAAAATGTCTTGATCTCTGCAAGTCCATTCTCATCTTCTTAACTGTGACCTACACAGTGCATGATAAAATTTTCAATCACGGACTAGAATCCTCTTCTTAACTAAGGTAACAATTCAGCTTCTTCATCAGCTTTATTCTCAAATAAACACAGGTTAAAATTTGGAAGGACAAAGTCAACATGCAAGTCTTTAGGGTTCACAGACATATGACAGTGTTGGAAATAATTTTTCTTGGTTGAAAGGCCATGTGCCCTTTCAAACCTTTACTTTGAAAGGACATATTTGAAAATTGGTTGGTCATTAATTAGCATACTGTATTTACTCAAATAAGTGCCGAGTCACTTATTAAATTTTTCATGCCTCCAATGCGGTGCTAATTTGAGGGTAGCGTTTATTTGAAAGTTGGATACAACAAAGAATTGTTTTAGCCATGACATTGTTATTTGCGGTATTAAACTAACAGAATATATGTCTTTTGATTTTGATTATAATGGGGCCGTGGCACCAAGAGCCATGGCTGTTGTTTGCCTTAAATCTCTTGATAGTACATGGCAAGAAAACCTTAAACCCAAGGAATGATTTTGGGTAACCCCTTTCATGAACACATTCTTCACATTGGCAACTGTTATTTTTTTTTAAAGAAATAACCTTCGGCGTGCAAAGAAAGTAGTGTCCGATAGCCCGGGGCTAGTGGATTTAGCTATTGGGCTAGTGAAATATGTTTTTAACTTGCCCGACGGGCAAGTGATGTTCTTTGAGGAATTCGAATAACAGAAGAAGTGTGAAATCAATTCTGCAAGACGAAAAGCTTTTGGGGCTAGTTGAAATGACATCTGGGCTAGTAAATGCTAGCTTCAGCTTGCCCGAATGGCAAGCTGTAAAAATGATTTTCTTTCCACCCTGAACCTTCCCTCCAAATTTCTCATGGTTCTAGACATAATTTGCAGAAATCTCAAGCTTTGAAAAAGAATCGAGATAGTCTCAATAGACCAGTAGAATTGGAATGATTGCTTCCCACCATCTGGCAAGTTCATTAAATTTTGCTTGAATGTGATTTTTATTCAGAAGGAAGTGGGCGTAATTCAGGGAAATGATTATGTTGGTTCAGGACATTTCTTCATGCTTATTTGTATTTGTTAAATTACATTGTTGAACGTGCTCATTAACAAATTCACCACTGGAGAAAAAGTGCCCAGGACACTAGTAGTTTTGAAAATGGCAATTCAGTTCAGAGAAAAAAAAGTAGCGTACACAATCTTTAAATGAAAATTTACGTGTAGTACTGACAAGCCTCATGTAATTAAAAAATTAATGTACATCATTACAAAGGAACCAAAGCAGTGATATTTATTTCATTGAAAATATTCCCAAAACCACCAATAATGCTGCAGATGTCTTATAACGTGAATTTGCATCCCTTTAGTATTGAGTTAAAAGAATATCTTGTTTTTTTATGGTTCACAGCCAACTTCAAAGGTAGGTAGTCATCGTTTGCACTATTGTGAAGATATTTTCTTTCATCTCTCCCAATTTATGACTAAATTTACTTTTCAACAATGCCTTTCCTTCTGGTTGTTGTTCAAACTGGCGAAGAGATTGCGCAGAAAGTTTTCTTGTGCGTCTTACAAAGCTTTCTTCATCTTTCAGATCTTTGAAACAGGCAGCCATTAGTTTCAAAGCATGTGCTTCCAGTTGCATAAATTAGATTTCCATATATGGAAAGTAGAGCCCACTAATTCCCTAACAAAGAGAACAGCTCAGATAGGAAGACGAATACAATACGTGGATGTTTTCAAGTTTCCTCAAAATAGAGAGTATTTCACTGGAATGCAAGTTTATCTTTTTATCATGGTGTTTTACCTTGTAATATTTTCGAAATCAACTCAGGGATGTTAACAAGCTTCTAAGACAAGAGCTAAGTCAATTAAGTGCTCGGACGTTATGTCCGAACGTATTGCAATATTAGTTGGATATTTAGGATTGGACATCCGACAGTAATTTCCGGCATTCTATGATAACTTTGTTTAAATCATTTTTCAGAGATAAAAACTAAGATTATTTTATAAACACCAATGAAATACCAGGCAAGCTTTCGTGCGAGAACTTGATATCTTCACATGTGAAAATAACATGTTAAAACTTTGATGGAAGGCTAAAATAACATAACAGAAACAACAGATTCCATGGATTGGCAAAACTGAAGAAGATTGAAACGGATTGAAATTAGAGTTTTTGTAAACTGTTCAGCCTAACAGTTTTTCAAAGTTGATCCCTGCTGCTTGCAACTTCAAAAACAATGCTCAGGAGACATCTTTGTTTGTCACGGATCTCTGATTTTGTTATTTACATGTAATTTCTTTGCTTACTTTAAGTTCCATAGCGGTTGAGGGCAAGTAGTTGGCAAAATTAAACAAAATGAACTGGACTGCCGTGACACAGGCCCCTTCATGCACATGGTGTACTTTCCTATATTGTCAGGAAGCCTATAGTTCTTCAGTCCCCGGCTTCTACACTGTAAAGCTGCAGGGTGCAAAGAAAATCATTCCCGGACTACCGGACACTACTTTCTTTGCACGCTGAGCTGTATATACATGTAGGCTTCCTTGCCGATTTGTTAATTAGATTAGTGTCTATCCTCTTCCATATTTTAAAATTTATTGTGTTTTCGTAATTAATTATAAATATGTACAGTTAATGGTTAATATTGGTAAATGGCAAAAAAAATGAATGAATGAACCTTATTCTATGTCATGTTAAACTTTCAGGAATGTGTTCTCAGTGGGCTTATGTCTGTGAATGGAAAGAAAGTTCTTCACATGGACCGACAGAAGTACTATGGTGGAGAGAGTGCATCAATCACCCCCCTGAATGATGTATGTGGATCATTGATTATTTTTTACTAATTTTCACCTTGATAGGATGCTTTGTTTTGCCTTTTTTTGTGTCATGTACCAGTAGGTTATTAAAATTGCAGCCTGGAAAGTTTTCCCCCATTGGTTTGTTTTGGATGGCTTGATAGTGAAAAACAGTATTGTTCAGAGTAATTTTTTATCTTATGTACAGTGAAGTAGGACATCGATCAAGGTAGTACAGTATCACTGGATGATTACACCAGCTAAAAACCCAGAAATTAGCTTCCTTTTTTTCAGTCAATTGACATCATTGAAATAATTTTGGTGCTTACACTGTACAAGTAGTGTTATTACAGTGTACATGTAGTCATATCAAAAATGCCCATTTGTTGTTGTTGTTTTGAATTTTAGTTCTTTACATTGTTTGGGAAGACACTAGATGATGAAAATAAGTATGGAAGGCCAAGAGACTGGAATGTTGATCTTATTCCCAAATTTTTGATGGCTGGAGGTAAGTTTAGATTTACGTAAGTCAGTAGAAGAGAGTCACGTCCAGTATAATTCCTTAAAGCTCCACAGATGACAAGAACTGGGATTTTACAGCTTTTAAACTCATTGCCAGTTGATGCGCTTGGGAACTGGTGCCTAAAAGGTTAGCAGGGTGGGGGGCAAATGCTAAAAATAAGGCAAGGAGGTAACCAGGCAACCCTGGAAGTTGGAACCACCCCTGCAAGCGGCCACTAACTGGCACCATCACACTGAGAAAAACCTCAGTGGAATAGATACTTACCATGTGAAGTACTTACCTGCGCATCCACACATGACAGCAGGGAGAGAGGAGAGGGAGCAAGAATCTGCAAAGATTCGCCAACACAAAGCTTAAAGATGATCTGCAACGATCAGCAAGAGTAGCTTGCCAAATAATGGTAAAGGATAGCGGCCCTGAAAACCTGAAATGAGCTGCCCCGCACGTCACACATGCTAATACAGGGACACCACTGGTAACATTGGCTCGAGATTAACTTAGCCTAAATAAAAATTTAGCCACATAAAAAATCAGTAGATTTGATGCAAGCTGCCACTAAAATACACTAGAAAATAAAGTCACAACAACTATTTTATGGAGAAATCACTGAGACAGTCCAGGGAATCCCAGAACTGGAGAGAGAGTTTGCCAAAGGAGCTACGGTCCTTTCATACATAATTGTAATTTACGATTGCTGCTTAAAGGGTTAAGCAACAACAACAAAGTGAATTTGCCCTGTTTCAAGAAACTTTTCATTGTTGAAGAAGTTGCCATTGTTCAAAATACTAACGAACCACTCACTATCTACAGTGCATACACGTAGATAGTATGTTAGCCAGTTAGATTGTAGAATCTGTGAAAGGTTGCTAGCTGGTTTATACTGATAAAATAATTTACTGTTGTATATGTTTTAAACAATCTTGGATCCCAGCTGTTTAGGTACACTAAATAGCAACTGTTTAAATTTATGTCTCTCATTTTAGGGGAGCTTGTAAAGCTGCTCATTATCAGTGGAGTAACAAGGTACCTGGAATTCAAACAGATTGACGGAAGCTTTGTTTACAAGAAAGGCGGTAAAATTTACAAGGTCCCTGCGGATGAGAAAGAGGCCCTGGCCACTGGTCTGATGGGTATATTTGAGAAACGTCGATTCCGAAATATGTTGATTTTTATCAATGATTTTGAGCCCGACAACCCCAAAACATTTCAAGGTAAGAAAGGCCTTGTTAAAGTATTATTCTTGTCTTGTTAGAATGGCAGACAGGGTTAAGAGTACAATGTACATGTACATGTTTGTATTGGCAGCTTCCGTCGGACTGAAGCTTGAATTTTTAAACAACTGGGAAAAAGGCCTCTAAGCCCATTAAACAAAGTAACTTCATTATTATTGTAAGTACAGTCTAACCTCTCCTTACGGACACCTCTCTATTACGAACAGTTTGTTTGGTCCCAGAAATGCCAAAAATCATACATTCCCTACCTCTATAATATGGACACCTCTGTAAAGCGGACACTCGGGTCTTTTCCTTTGGTGTCCGTATTAAAGAGGTTTGACTGTACAGTTGAACCTCCCATAATCGACCACATAAAATGCAAAGAGTTGGTCGCTTACAGGACATGGTCGCTTACGAGAGTCAAACTGCGGGAGGTCTTTTAGGATGGGAAGTCCGGACGCATCTACATGTACAGAGTACTTTCTGGAGAGAATGTATTGCGTGTAATTGTTGGGTTGCAATTCAGTGCTCCAACTGCAACCATTTTGGTTGCCATGGCGAGTAGAAAAAAATTTCAGCAACTAAAATTGCAGTGAAAGTCACCAATTTGGCGACCTGTGTTCAGCATTCATGTGCCAAGCTATTCCCAAGAAATTCCTGAGATTTTTCGAGATACGTTTTTCTAGTAGTTAGTGTACGTTTATGGTCTTTTTAAGTTAAAGTGAGATAGACATTTGTATTAAATATCATTTATGCTCTCTTTTCTTTATAATTTGCCTATTGTCACCCTGGTTCTCTGGGTATTAAGCCTTCAGAGGTCGTGTGCACCCATTTTGATTCTTTCAAACCATCACGCAAGGTTACACAAACTGTTCCTTTTTTCTGGCGACGGACATTTTATGGCTGGTGACAATTTTATAATTTTGGGTTGCCAAAAGGCGACGTTAAATAAACTTTAGCTTGGAGCACTGCAATTATTTGTAAAGCAATGTTGTTTCTAAAAGTTATTCTAGCACTCTGAGTAGGGTAGTACACCAACAAAAAGATCAGACCATTGTATCATGTGGTCACTCAGAAGAGGCTAAAAACAATGGAAAATTCTAAAACTTTGTCATCCTAAAAAGGCGGTTGTGGTTTCTTTCGAGAAGTGATCGTCTACGAGAGGTTAAAACTGAAAGGCTTTGACTAGGAAACTTTGTGGCATTTTGGATAAGGGGTCGCTTATGGGAGGTGATCACCTCATGACAGGTGGTCGCACATGGAGATTCGACCGTAGCTAATGTTAATGTTGCAGTTTATTAACAATAATATTATTGGACGAAGTTGAGCAAAATATCATGATTAATTGTCGTGAGCAGATCATATATTTGCCAAAGCTGAAGCCTGAGGCGAAGAATTAATCTGCGAGACACCGACACATCATGATATTTTGTGTTTGCCATTTTTACGCAAGAGTGATTGCAAGACGGAGAAAAGCGTGGTTTCATTTACACATGAGCAGAACATTATTTGCAGCCAAACGCTTAAACCACAGTTGGACAACATTGCTCATGAGCAGACCATTATTAATTTTGTAGGCAGTTATTTGCAGGTCACGTGGTGGGCTGTCGGCCAATGAAAAGGAAGAAAAATTTGCATCAAATTATTATTTTTATTCCAGTTAATATTTTGTTTTTCCATTGTTTTTTGGGTATGGTACACTGTATGCTTATGATTTGATACAAAGGAAAATAAAAAATTGACTGACATAAAAAATGAACTGCAACATTACTTCACAGGACACCTTATTTGATAAATAATTTTCATTGATTTGTATCTTCTGGACCATGCAGGGGTTGATCCTGAGAAGACAACAATGAGAGAAGTGTATCAGAAATTTGGTGTAGATGACAACACAGCAAGTTTCACGGGACATGCCTTGGCTCTACATCTTGATGATAAGTAAGTTATGTTTGATCAGCATCCATTGAGGTCAAATATTTTTTTGAAGTTATCCGCTGACAAGTTACTAGTTTTCAAATGATCGCAGGCTCAAGTTTATTTTTTTAAAAAGTTTATTTGAAAAATGTTGTGTTTATGTCAATATGGCTCTGCACTATTAAGATTTTGATTTCAAACTGACCTCAGACCTGAAAATTCAGCCAGTTATGTAAAAATGCAGGCAGGGAAGACGTTTTCTTACCATGGTCACGCTTTAGTCAAGCTCTACAGGTGATAGGGTGCAAAGAAAGTCAATTTTACAGCTTGCCATTTGGGCAAGCTGTAGCTAGCATGTACTAGCCAACAAGTCATTTCAATTAGCCCCAAAACCCTTTTTGATTAGCAGGATTGATCACAGTCCTTCTGTAATTTGAATTTCCCCCCCAAAAAAGCACTTGCCCGTCCGGCAAGTTAAGAACTAGCCCAATAGCAAAATCCCCTTGCCCCGGGCTATCAGACAAAACCGTAGCAAAGTCTCTTGCTGACGGCATTGTACACTGCTTGCGATTCTCGGCCTTTACATGAGGAGAATCAGTTACGATTCAGCAACAGTCCTTTTTTTTTTCAAAGAAACATTTCGTTTCAGAATGATATTTCACTATAAACCATGAGATTAGGGGTCTTGTCATGAGAAAGGTTAAAAAAATGTGAGACGCATGGCAGAATCGTGAGCTTGGACCAGCTTGGGAGTCAAAGAGCAATTGCTGATCTTTTCGTCATGTTTATCGCCTGGACGAGTCAAAAAGCTTCAAAAGTTCATAAGCTTTTGTCTCAAAGTTGGCCATAGTGCTTATTTGAAACATTCAAAGTTCACGTGAAGAAAACTTATTGTCCTGCGACTCCTGTAAAGTGTACAAAATCAGCACATCGTGGAACAGGAATGATCTACAAGAGTTGTCGTTTTGATATCAGGCGCTTTCGTGCGGAGCCGACTAATTACAAATGGCGTCTACATCTGAGTGAAATTGGCAAATCACAGTGCCGCAATAACTTGTTCCTTACACTACGCGTAATCCACAAGTTTAAAAAGCAGTGAACTACATTGGGAAGGTTATCTACTGAAAATGGTTCTGCAGTTGATTGTTGGATGGCACTTTAGAACTTAATTGTCTCCTTGTGACAAGATGTCATCCATTGTGTTTGTGATCCACAGCAATCCACAGCAGTGAAACGACAGGTGCTGCGAGACACGTTAAAGAACACTGTATTCCCCTCGATTCCTCATTAAAATATTCGCTACCAGATGAATACTTCCCGAAATATTTAACTTTACACCTGGCATGACAAGCTGATGAGTAACTTACCTTAAGAACTGCCCTTTGCAATCGCGACCGATTTTCTACTTCAACTCCAAACACCAACACTACGAATGTCAAAGAACAAGTTCACAGATTCAAAGAAACCCTATAACAGGTTTATCTTAATTTACTTTTAGAGCATGTTTTTACAAGGAATTAAAGACTTTCTCAGCACTCACAAAATTATGAAATATAGGCTGCCATAATTTCACTTCGCTTCATCGGGTGCTGCACAGTGGGGCCTGGGAACTGCTAACAAACATCCAGACATCCAAACAGACAACCTTAAAGTCGTGATCTCATGCCAGAAATAGGTAGCTGGCCTGTGCGGGCAGCAACAAGAAGTTGGCTAGTTTTGGTGACATTTGTCAAGAGGAAGAAGCAGTTTATGGATGGCCAAAATAATTGTTCACGAAATTTTTTGGGAGACATATTTAACGTTCAGAATTGTTAAATTAAACTTATCTAAGGACATAAATCAGTGGTAAAAAATCTTAGGCCATATACAATCTAAGCGTCGCTCTCATAAGTTACCAACTTACCTGTGACATAATTGCCAGCACTGCCTGTGATCCTGTTTTGTTGCCACTGGTATCAAGACCCATGGCCTGATTTACTACCGCCATACCTGCAATGTTAAATGAGGGTCAACTACATAGGCATACTGGTAGTAAAGACTGGGATAGATAGGTGACTTATGTCAGCATATTGGAACAGTATCCCAGGTAGTACTGGCTTTTATTGTTGCAGATAAGTAAGCATCATGTATGATTAGGAAACAGGCTTTAATAATAATGATAAATAATGATGATGATTATACTACTACTACTACTACTACTACTACTACTACTACTACTGCTACTGCCGCTGCCGCTGCTGCTACCGCTGCTACTACTGCTACTCCTACTGCTACTCCTACTGCTACTCCTACTACCACTCCTACTACCACTACCACTACCACTACCACTACCACTACCACTACCACTAGTGATACTGTTGATAATGATGTTGATGACAATAATAATTTCTAATGTGCCTTTTCCATGCAAATTCATTCATTCATTTTATTTTGCTTTTACCAAGAAATACAACAATAGTATACAGAAATACATTAAAGATAATATACAATATTCCAACTAAATTATTTACAAGATCAAATGTGGTAAAGGCAAGGAAGCCTGTATAGAAGCCGGGGGCTTATAAACTATAGGCTTCCTGGAACCATAGGGTAAACCATACAAGTTAAGGGTTCTGAATGAAAATTTCGATTAATTTTTTAAAGAAAAAAAAATACATGTATTATCCAAAGCGCTTTACAGTGTTCAAAAAAGTAAATCTAATAATATTAATTAATGCCCAGAAGCACATACTTGTGTAGTAATTAAAGCTAAAAAGAAAAAATTACTAGTAGAAGTGTCATGAAAATTAATGTTTCTTGTTTCTATTAAAATGCCACCTCTCTACTAAAAATCCTCGGTCTGTCCCTGATACAGGTACTGGATATCTGCCTTCTTGCATCTACAGTGAAACCTCTATTAAGCGGACACCTTTGGGACCTTCTGGCCATGTGTCTGCTTAATAGAGGGTGTCCGCTTAATAGAGTTTGTAAAAATTGTGCAATGTTTGTGGTAAAGTTCCGAAGAACTTTTAGGTGAATTTTGATGGGGCATGACAATCATACGGCCAGATGTCAGTCTAATCCACAGTTTATTGCAGCTAAATGCATTGATTTATCCTTATTAATCAACTACAGTTTGTATTTCAAGGACGTAATCCAATACTAGTATTGTCAATTCAGTCCGGTGTTTGCGTAATAGAGGTTTTTAAGAATAGAAATTACCCAAGTACAATTTTGTTTTAGTGTCCGCATCCGCTTAATAGAGGTGTCCACTGAACGGGGTTTGATATGAAGGGAAATATAAGATGTTAATTTTGGGACCCAGCTTAGTGTCCGCTTAATAGAGGGTGTCCACTTAATTGGGGGTCCACTTAAAAGAGGTTTCACCTTATTGTCAAACTTGACAGCTCACACCATGGAAGTGTAATTTTCTTTTTGTTCTGTTTTGATTTTTAGTTACTTGGACAAACCTTGCAAGGAGTCATTGTTAAGAATCAAATTATACAGGTTATTACTTTTATTCTGTGTGTTTCCATTTATGCCCTTTTGGCCAAGTATGTGGTTGAGATGTTGGGATCGAGAAACTCTACCGGGAAGGGATAGCAATGAGCGGATAACTTTAATCATTTGATTCTTTGATCGAAGGTGTTTGATGGAAAATTGGCTGTGTCTTTCAAATGGATGCAATAAACTTTTTCTTAACCCTTTAAGTCCCAATAGTGACTAATGTCAATTTTCTCCTAACGATATCCATACAATGTCAAGAGATTAGGTTATGAGAATTAATAAAATGATCACCAAAGGGAAAATGCCTTGATCTTTTATCAAATTCTCTTAACTCATTCTTTAAGGAAATGTATGGAGATCAGTTTGGAGAATTTGCATGAAGATATTGGGGCTTAAAGGGTTAACAGATGACCAAACCATTTGAACAGGCTTTTGTTTACAATAAATGGGTGACTACATGTAAAATGAATTGTTCATCGAATGAATGACCTAGCTGTTTGAACAGGCCGATGTTTCCAATAAACAGGCAGCCAAGCTTTTCAAACAGATGACCAAAGCTGTTCAAACTGTGGCAAATAATGTTCTTAACAGCTGACGATCGGCTGGTAAACAGAAAGGTGTTTGTAAATGGATACCCAGAAGTGTAGGTTTTGGGGTGAAAGCTTACAAACCAAAAGCATTGAGTGCAAGCTATTGAAACGGGCCTTCATTCTTTTAGTGAAAGTTTAGCCAGGTATGGCAAGTCTCCATATCTGTACCCTCTGTATGGCCTTGGTGAGCTACCTCAAGGATTTGCAAGGCTGAGTGCAATTTATGGTGGAACATACATGTTGGATAAGCCGGTAGAGGAGATTGTTTATGATGAAAATGGGCAAGTTTGTGGTGTCAAGTCACAGGGAGAAACTGCTAAGACCAAGATGGTGATTGCTGATCCTTCATATTTCCCAGACAAAGTGAAAAAAGTTGGACAGGTAAATAAAATGTCAAAATAATATATTTTTAGCAGAAACCCATAGTATTACCTAAGAAAATTTGGTAATCTATCCATCTGAGAAATTTCAGTTATCAGGGTGCAAAGAAAGTCAGTTTTACAGCCTTCCATTCGGGCAAGCTGTAGCTAACATGTACTAGCCCACGAGTCATTTCAACTAGCCGCGAAATGCTTTTTGATTAGCGATTAGCAGGATTGATTACAATCTGTCTGTAATGTGAATTTCCCGAAAAAATTCACTTGCCCATCAGGCAAGTTAAGAACAGAATTCACTAGCCCAAACCAAAATCCACTAGCCCCGGGCCATCGGATATGACTTTCTTTGCACACTGGTTATCAAGTAACTGTCCGCCTGTCCACCCTTTCGCACCACTGGGAAGCTGATGTGAATTTTCAAACTTTCTAGCTAATGTGGGAGCCTGTAACCTGGGTTAAAGCTTTATAATAGACATCCATTATTACGGTCAATTGACAGCTTTCAAAATAGGGTATCTGCTGAGCAGAGTCACATGACCGTATTGCGGGTTCAGGTGCCAACTCATTGAGGTCACATGTTTTTTTGAAGTTTTCCGACAAGAAGTTGTTAGTTTTTTATTGATGGCAGGCTCCGTCCTGTTACCATTACGAATCACCTTGCACAACATAATTCACAGTACCATAGCAAAGTACTGCTCAGCAGCATTTATTTGATTAGAATGATCACGATTAAGATGTTATGCAAAGTCTCAAATGTGAGAACCTCTTTTCTAACTTATACATTTTTCCAAAATGTTTTATTTGAAGGTGGTTCGTTGCATATGTATAATGGACCATCCTGTTCCAAACCTTCCTGTTAAAGATCAAACATCATGCCAAATAATCATCCCTCAAAGTGCTGTGGATAGGAAATCAGGTACTGTTTTGAATTTTTCTTGTTCCATCAACATGAAATTATTGCGGGCGACAAGAGGAGCCCACAATCCTAATCTCCAGGTTGTTATTATGCATACGTCGCATCTATGTAGACAGCATTCGTTTGGACTTCCACTAAGAATGAATGGAATGCACAAAACACAATTTGATCGTGCATGTTTCGACTTTCTACCCTGCATAATCTGATCATGCATGTTTTGATCATCTGTCAAGTGAAACGTACCCAAACGCACAGCATTAAAGCAAAAGTGTTTGACGGCGTTTGAACGTCCAATCATTGTTACCTGCACTCCGTAACCTTTGGTTGTTACTAGTTTTAATGAAGAATTGATGCAAACTTCCACTTATAAGCTTTGGGCTGATACAACATTGTAAAGAGTTTTTTAGCCTGCCAAGGCAGATGTATTTTCGTTGTCACTTCTCCCCACCTGAAAGGGAAATCCGTCTGCTGCACAGGCTAGTGTTAGAAGGCAAGGAGTTTTTATGAGGGCTTAAAAACTTACGCAGAGTTCTGATTTGATGGGGAAAGCATTGGCATTTCGGGTAAGTAACGGCAGCAGCTAATGGGAGGTAATCATTTATGAGATGTGGTCACCTGTGAAGGTTCAATGCCATTAGAAGCTGCTCCAGCCGTGTTACAGTAAAACACTGCGAACAAGAACCTAGATTTTTTGAAGTTTGGCAAAATAGATTCTTATAGTTTGGAGTACTTATTGGAAGTTTAGGCTAAATGTGTTCTTAATTAGGTTCTTAATTTTTATGAAGAAGGATACCGTTGTTGATTACAAGAAATTGCTATATATGGTATTTGTCCTTCATAATAGGCACTTATTTACTAAAAATCTAACAAAACTAGGTTAACAGCTAGAAGATATGCAGTTTTCAACAATGGTTGTAAACATTATACATTTATTATATAATGTAATATAAATTCCTCATATTAAATCCAGACTTTTGGTCAAAATGTTTATGAAAATGTAGTCTAATCCCACATATAAGAACCGGTTGATTTTTCTTGGCTAAACTGGTTCTTATATTTTGAAGTATTAAAATGACAAATTTCTGCCAGCAGGTTCTTAAATCCTAGGTTCTTCTTTGCAGCATTTTAATTACTGTATCAATCAGTTACTGTGTTTTCTGGTCATGGCTATAATGATTTGTGGCAGAAGCAGGGCTATGTTTCTGTTTGTGGTTGTTAATAAGGACTTATAAAATAATTGAGGCTTTTTATTTGTTTGTTTTTTAATTTACTTTTTCAGATATCTACGTTTGTGTTGTATCATTCACACATAATGTTGCTGCAAAAGGCTTCTACATAGCCATTGTGAGCACAAAGGTTGAGACCAGTAATCCTTTACAAGAACTCAAACCTGGACTGGATCTCCTAGGAGAAGTTAGAGAAAAGTGAGTAGATTTTCCAAGAATAGATAAAATAAAGTGGAGGTTGTAAGTACTAATGTTGCAAGTAATGTTGTGTTAGTATGTGTAATCGGATGATGATGAGTGAAATTAGGGAATAATTTCCCGCGCGTTTTGTCCAAATCTTAAAAAAAAAATTTAGGATTATTAGGATTTGGACAAAACACAAGTGAAATTGTTCTCTAATTTCACGAGTATACATGTACCATTTGATTACCTATTAATATCATGGGTGATGAATAACATTAGCAATCTTGGATTTTTGACATATGTTTATCCTGGATCGTCTGATTGAGAACTCCACTCTCTCGAACGTTTAGAGCTTAAATTTGGCTCAAGTTCAGAATTTTTCGACAAAATACCTGTTAGAATCGTTCTTGATGTACTCCCTCATGTGTTCAGGTTTTTTGAAGCGTCTTTTTATGCCCTGGCATCTTCATTCATGACATTTTAGAACTTTGTCGCCATCTTGACACTGAGACGTACGGAACGTTGCCATGGCAATATTGTAATTTCACATGTGATATTACAAATTAATGCTGAAATTTCGCGCCAAAATTAAGGAGTAATTCGTCACCTATGATATTATTATAAGTATAATGCTGCTGGTAGTGAAACATCACCTGAGAAACAATGGACCGAAATACACACTCTGCTAACGGGCCAGTTTGGACATATTAACATCCACACTAAGCCTTTTCTATGTACAAGGCTCTGGGAAATAAAACAAAAGAAATGAATATTATTATTTATTGCTGAGCATCAAGAGGATTTTTTTTTCCTGTAAGCCTCCTATGTCCTTCTATTGGGTCAGTTAATAGTTGTGGGATAAAGGACTACAACTGTGTCCTACAATGTCGAATTCTTTGTGATTTGGGTCTTTATTGGCCAGTTTACAGCCTGTCGTACAAAAACAACTTAAAACTGTTTGCACATACCACAATTTGCGAAACTTAGCACAATTAGACCTGACAAACATAAACACCGAAAAAGCAACAGGACACCCAAGGCGATCCATAGATATGTTAGTGAGCTTCTCGCCTGGGGGCTCGCAACAATAAAAAATTAATAGATAAAATACACTAGGAGTTTAGACTTGAGAGCATGTGCCAGCATGGTGTTACTGGTGATTTGTGGAGCTAGAAATGACGTAACAGTTATGAGAAAGTTGAGGGAGTCAAGTTCAGGAGACACTTTGCCCTCTAATCAGGCTGATAAATTAGCCAACATTTTGCAATGCCAGTGGTGGATTCACCATAAAATAACACCTGAGGAAAGAGCAGAGAAACTCGATACTCTGGGTAGTGCTTCTGATTGGTCATGGCTTGAGGAAAATATGCATCAACCAATCGGAAGTACTAGCCATATCTTGGCTAGTGACATGTCATCAGTATGGAGTTTCTGCGTTTGCTTGGCAGGGAAACTTGGAAGGAGATTGTCCAATCACAACGTTATTTCTGAAATTTAAAGTTTCTCAAGTTTTTTTGCAAAGGGATCAATAACATTGGTAAATTTGAGGGCTGTTTCTTGAGAGCTCCGGTAAATTCAAACGGTTTTAAAGCTTTCAACGGTTGCATGGTTGAATTCTTGAATTTTATTGGTCCATTGGCAAAAAAACTTGAGAATCTTTCATTTTCAGAAAAAAGTTTTGAGTGGACAATCTTCTTCCAAGTGTCTCAGTTTGAGTGTCCTTACTGTAATAGTGTCCAAGTGTCTTGGTTTGAGTGTCAAAACTGAAATACTCTCCAAGTGTCTCAGTATGAGTGTCTTCACTGTAATAGTGTCCAAGTGTCTTGGTTTGAGTGCCCAAACTGTAATGGTGGCCAAGTGTCTTGATTTGAGCGTTCACACTGTAATAGAATCCAAGTGTCTTGGTTCGAGTGTCCACACTGAAATAGTCTCCAAGTGTCTCAGTTTGAGTGTCTGCACTGTAATGGTGTCCAAGTGTCTTGATTTGAGTGTTCACACTGTAATAGTATCCAAGTGTCTTGGTTCGAGTGTCCACACTGAAATAGTCTCCAAGTGTCTCAGTTTGAGTGTCTGCACTGTAATAGTGTCCAAGTGTCTTGGTTTGAGTGTCTGCACTGTAGTAGTGTCCAAGTACCTTGGTTTGAGTGTCTGCACTGTATTAGTGTCCAAGTGTCTTGGTTTTTTAGTGTCCACACTGTAATAGTGTCCAAGTGTCTTGGTTTGAGTGTCTGCACTGTAATAGTGTCCAAGTGTCTTGGTTTGAGTGTCCACACTGTAATAGTGTCCAAGTGTCTTGGTTTGAGTGTCCACACTGTAATAGTGTCCAAGTGTCTTGGTTTGAGTGTCCACACTGACGCTAATAGATGATCTTTATAAATTTTGTGGTTAGCAGTGTTACAGTGCCAGAATAAAGTGAAGCAAAACAAATGACTATAAGTCTATTTGGTTAAAAATTGCGATTGCTTCTGATGGTATGTACTGTTTACTGAAGAAGATTTTAATTATTTTGTCTCCTTTCAGATTCGTATCAGTGAAGGACACTTTGGTTCCAACTGATGAAGGAGAAAAGTCAAAGGTTAGTTCTTAAGGGCTGTTTAAATGGAGGGGGGATCCAAAAGTGTTAGCTACCCTTATGGATCCGGTAGAAAGTGTGAGGACTTGAAGTAGCCTTGCTTTCATTAGAAAATTATTGGGGACGTGTGGTCTTTATACCGAGATATTTAGGAGATCTTTTTTTGACAATAATCGCAATACCTTGGTACTAAAATGTGAATAACACAACCTCCGAAAACCGTAGTTAAGCTATTAAAAAACCTCCCAACATTTCAGACAAATAAAACGGTTATCAAGGAATTTTTAGCTTTTCTCAAGCTTTAGAAATTTCTAGGCAATATTTGCTCCTTCGAGCAGTTATTTTACAGAAACAAGTCGCCGGGTACCCCTGAGAGGTTCGACGGTATATTTTTCTCTTTTGTATGCCGAATGACGCACATGAATTCTCTAAAATTTTATTGAATGTTGATTAAAATGCTAGAAAAAGAACGTTATGGAATGTGATTTAAGCGCAGTGTTCGTTTTTTCTCGCTAATGAACGTACCTTTGCGTTATCGGCCGCCATTTAACGCAGCTGAATGCGTATTTTCTCGTAATGAACAGGGAAATGTGTAGTACGTTTAATAGTGATACACTTACCATGAGGACAATATTGTTAGCCAATGTTAACCAATGTGAATTGTACCCAGGTTTTTATCACGACTACATATGATGCCACGACCCACTTCCAAACTACTTGTTCCGACATACTGGATGTTTATAAGCGATGTACTGGAGAAGACGTTGACTTCTCGAAAGTCCAGCAAGACGTAACAACGGTCGGTGAACAATGATGGGTGCTGTAGGTTGTTGAACATAAAGTGTTATGGATCATTTGCAAAGTTAGAAAAGGCCAAAATTTTATCACGTTATTTCAATTCTTTGTGAAGAAAAGTTTGATCTGTCAAGAAAGATTAGTAGTCTAGAACTGAATGACACATTTGATGTCAAACTAATTCCGGGCGGTGCAATAGGCCTCTTTCGAGTCGTCTCAAGCCTCTGTTTCCAAGCGAGGCGCAGTGCGAAGCCATAGATTTGCAATATTGATGTTTCATTCGCACGCAAATGACTCATTTTCATGACAAAGGACAAAGGTTTTGCCCTTAGCCTCGTTTTGAAAGTGAAAGTTCTTGGAATTTGGAAGTGGCCTATTACTCGAGGCAGCTTTTCTGTTAACTTGCAGAGCCATATGATTGATTTTGTCGACACGAAATAGCTTGCATGAAGGTTATTATCTCCTAAAATTTCACATAAGTAAAACTGCCATGCAAGTCTCTAGAAGAAAGACTGTAAAGGGGTGTTCACCATTTCAGAGAAAAATCTGGTTAGGTTAGCCATCGAGATTATGATAAGCGGTTTACAGCTTACAGCTGTATCTCGTAACTTCCATTTTCAATTCGGTTTGAAGTTTTAACATGCACGAATAAGGACCCGAGAAAGTGAGAGAAAGGGGAAGCGACATTCTGTTGGTTCCTACCAAGCAGACTAACAGGAATTCCTCAAATCGTACACCTTTAAATGGCTGTGCCCGAAATATCAAAATGCCAACGATAGCAACTGCCAACAAATTGAGCGAAACAAAAAAATAATCGTTCAGTTAATAAGTAGGCACAGATGGCCAAATCTGGGAATTTGCCCACCTACCCCTCCCCTAAGCCAACATTAACACTTAGTTCTCACTTAGGGCAAATTGTTGGCTTAGGGGAGGGATAGGTGGGCAGTTCGTAATCTCTTTGTTAACGTTAAATTCCGTAGCGCATGAGGAAAGCACGATTGGCAGTATTTAACAAAAATGAACTAGACAGCCGTGGCAATGTAGCCCCTTCAGTGTTGGTTGGAATGTCTGGAAAATCCCCCCCACCCCACCCCACCCCCGATGGATAATTTTTTGCGAAATGGTAAACACCCGAATGTACGTTAGAATTTTTTTTTCGCCCATAGTGCTCAAATCTATATGTAGTTTCAAAATCGCAAGGCAAAATTGTGTTTGCAATTGTGCCCTGATTTTGTGGATTTTCTGTGTAGTATGTACGTGTTCTGTTCCAGAAGTAAAGAAGTAAGTAGATAATATCTGGCCACTGATTCATACCGTTCACGGTCAAATGGTACTAGCTTGCAGTCGAGGCTTATAAGAAGGAATAACGTTAAATCTTTCACTCTTACGAGTGGTCAGTAACTCAAACAAGTTTCTTTTCGTGAAATCCCAAGAATTAAATAGTACTTCGCAAACGTTTTGCCGAAGAGGTTCATTTGAATGGTAACATCATAGCATTTCGTCCACGGATTTAAAAGTTAGGGTGGCGAGTAATCTCGCCATACTCGTCTTGGAGTGAAAAGGTTAAAATATGCATTAGAGAAGATACCTTCCAAGCCTGGACTATGAGCTATATCCAGTCTTTAACATTGGTCTTTAAAAATAATACTAGTAATGGGCGAGCTCTCCCCTTTCGTGATAATTTTGTTAATTCTCATAACTTTTTCTGTTGATAATGTACTGATATTGTTTGGAGATTATTGATGTTGGTCACTCCTCGGACTGAAAAGGGTAACTGGACTGCTAGCAGTCTCCTCCCTGCCAGCAGAGCCTTTCTTTCGCTGGCTCGATTTTGGCGAATATCTTTGCATGTTGCTAAGATACAGCTTCGAACCTATGCCTAATAGCCGTGCGCTTGGAACAACGGGCTCAGTTATGACCATCGGTTTATCAATAAACGAATGCTCGCACTCGAAAAACCAGTTTGACAAGAGCGTCTGCGCATGCGGCGACTCGAAAGGCTTGACGCAATTCAAGCAGAGTCATTTTTCTCCTCGAGAAGACAAAAGGAGGCTCTGCTCGCAGGGTGGGGGTGGGGGCATTAGAGGAAGACCTTCGATAACAATGACCTCCACTAGGTTGTGGCGTCCAGCGGGTTTAGTGAAAACAAGGGTTTGGGTGGGGTGCTCAGTATCGCGGGCTCGATAAACCTGGTCTCGGTCATTCTTATCTAAGGATTTTCGGCATTAGAGCGAGCGAGCGAGGAAAACAGAGGGGAGAAGTTGATCTTTTGAGTCTCATCATCACAGTTTGCTGTTAATGTTAAGACGGACTCAAAAGAGATTGCTAGCGGTCACTTTATTGATCGGAGTGTCCAGCATTTGGACTTGCGCCCTTTTTAGTACTACTAGTGTAGTACTTCTTAATTTCTATACTAGAAATTTACGGGAAGCGAGTCCAAGTGTGGAGAATGGGAAAATCTAGCCTTTTATACTGGTTCATAAAAAAAAACTTAAAACCTTACCTTAATGTGATTATCGTCGACTTTAAGTTATTGATTCTGTGTTGTTTTTTTCAAGTAGTTCGCTTGCAAATTATCACTTTTTGAAATAAGAAACTAGCCACGAACCAAAATCCAAGAGGTTTTATTTCAATCATGACGACAATGTACCGATTACTTTACATCTTCTAAAGGATTAGAATCTGAACTGGTTTAGTGTGACCATTAACTATTACCTTCGTTGGATAGATCTTTTCCATCAACTGACTTAACGCTGGCAGCATGTTCTAACCAATAAACATCGATGGAAATGACTGGTTTTCCTCGTCATGTGATGATGAGTGTCGCATGCTGTCGCGATCTTTGCGGAGGTCGGTGATTGGTTTGTTGGTTTTGAACGTGCCATGATTTGCCAAACCTTTTTTTGGTGTGAGACAAAATGATTTTTAAGTCAGAAAAAGTTCCATTCTCTTAGAGCCTGCTAAAAAATAATTGTAATCTCTGTAGAAATTTATAGAATTATAAACTTAGCTTAACATTTCATGTGAGTATTAGTCTGTGATACTGGCAAACTGCCTAATAAAAGAGTTGATTTATATAATCCAATCCGGTTTTCGTAACTCTCTGGTGGTAGTGTGATCAGGTAAGGGACGGACCAGTAGAAAAGTTATGGTGGGGGTGGGGAATTTTCAAGCCGCAGGAATTTTTTTTCGTTATCAAATTCCTTGTATGAATTTTTTTTTTGGACATGGCGTGAATATCTTTTAGGTTTAATAGGCGTGCATGAATTTTGTTTCATTTAATTTTCCCTTGCGCGAATATTTTTTTGTACTTCGCCCGCCCCCCCATAAGTTTTCTAATAGTCCGTCCCTAAGATTCAGCGTACGACCATGACCATAGTCAATCCGCAGTCGATTTAATTTGTTTGGGGATATTCATCACCAGATATGTGGACGAGCGTGGTTAACAAACAATTGACCGTTTCAGAAATACCACAACATACCATAATGCTCTTTGTTTGTCATCCGAAAATGTTGCATAAGCATTGTTTTCAGTTTCTCTTGGGGCGAGTTTAACTCCCAAGAGAGACACTGGAGACAATGTTTATGCAAAATTTTTGGGTTACAAACAAGGAGCATTATGGTATGGTATGGTATTTTCTGGAGTGGTCAATTGCTGGTTTGCACGTGACGTCACGAACAAAAGCATTTCTCTCCTCTGGGAACTAAACTCTATTTCAACGTAAATTCTTCGAGAAAAAAATCTATTGTGTTGACCCCCAACATAGCCGCCCTGTCGCGTGGTTGCAATTTTTCGTCACCCGTGCTAACCATCGCTCCCTCAATTCAGAGGATTTTCTGTTTTTTTGTTTTTTTTTTTCATTTTACGTTCCACTTTACTTTGTGAATGAAACAGCAGCCTGTGTTCTCTTCTGTGCACTACTTGCGTCACCTAGTCGTGCCGTGTGTCAAGAGGGACCTTATGAGACTCGACGAGGGGACTTCTCCCCTAAACTATAAATCCTAGATAGAACCTTGATAGAACCCTGACGACGTGAAATTGCCCGGACTAGGACGACGACATTTTATTAGCTTTTATTTCCCTTTATGAACTTGGATAGGGATCCTAGGAATTGAACTTCAGGGGGGTGGCCTACTTTTGATAAAGTAAATGGGTAGGAATAATCGCGATAAATACTCGAAAAATGTAAATTTACGTTTTACTTACTGTGTGGCACGAAATTTTTGCGGGAGTTTGTTTCTGCAGACTAGCGATTTTTTGTGTTATGCGGGAACTAATTTTTGCAATTAAGACAGATTGGTTTTTCTTGCTGGGAATTAATTTTTGCGATTTTCAGAAAGTACCCAGTACCCAACATTGATAATATTTTCGTTTTTATTGAGTACGTGCAATAGAAATACATTTTTTCAAACAATGAATCAGTATTTCGTTGTTTTTGACAAGTTTTGATTGAACAGACTCGATTTCTTAGCACTGTATTTTTGTGTAGCAAATTTAAGGTAGAGAATATTTACTCTGGAGTAAATTTTTGCGGGGAAAATGTTTGCGGTAATTTTTATTTGCATAAGCATTCTCCTAGTCTCTTGCGACGACTGAGAAATTAAAAAACAAAGATTATGCAAAATTTCAGGGGCAAAGAAGGTGTATTGCGGGAGATGCGCAAAAGGCGAATGCGACGTGTTCGCGGTTTTCGCTTCGTTTTCGCTGCCATCGAGACTCCCTCCTAGCCCCCGTGACGTTGCGTTACTATCACGTGATTAATATTTTCCCGCCATTTTGACGCTCACCACCCTAGATGTTTGCGCTTTCAATGCGGGAAGGAGGCTGTGTCCACGCTACAAAACGACGTGAGTATTCAAGCCTATTTCTTGCTTTTATTTATCTGTCAGTGAGTATTTTCTATATGGAAGGAATGATTACGTGTAAATACATTTGCAAACGAAAGGGACATTTGGAAAACGGGCGAAATGACTCGTAAAGTTCAATGTCGCCTGAACAATGAATAGCAGACATAACGATAAAACATACTTTGGACCATTATAACTTACCAATACCGGTTAAAAGCTGACGCGAAGTCTTAGAATACCACGACAGAGTAAAGTCAGCTTCCTTGCCTTTGAGTTCTCTATAAGACCTTGTATGTATTTAGTAACTGTTCGACGATGTTTTTCTTCTCTGCACAAAACGGCAGAGAAATCACACTAATGTCAGCGTATAAAAACGCACGTGCAAAAGCATCATTTTGCTAATCATCTGAATAATTACCATTGTTTTCGTACAAATTATTCTTGCGGCCTTTGCCATCACCGCACACAGATCATGACTGCGTTACTCTATGATTTGTAGCAAAGGACGCCTTGCAAGGCCTCTTTATTTATATGAGCAAGCTTGCCCGTGTAGATTGAACAACTTGATCCCCAAAATTGACAGGGTAAAAGTCGTTCTCTTATGACCGCTACCCTGTTCCTTTTTCGTGGGACGTTGGGAGATGCTGGTTGCTTACCATTTACACAAACCACATGGGCCCAGTTGTTCAAAACAGGGTTCGTAAAGGTCATGGAAAACCTGGAAAGTCATGGAATGTAAGGATTTCATTTTGCAGGCCTGGAAAGTCATGTAATTTA